GCCTGTAGAAGCTAACATGTCCTAAGAAACTTCTAACCTCTCTCATTGTAGTAAGAGGTGATAGTTTATTAATAACTTGTATTTTTACTAGATCCACTTCCATACCACTTTCAAAAATTTTATGTCTAAGCACAATTTCTTCTGTGACCATAAATTGACATTTCTCCAATCTTAGAACTAAATTTACCTCTTCACGACATTTTAGAACGTTTGTTAAATTATTTAGACATGAATCAAATGAGGTTCCAAACACTAAGAAATCATCCATATATACTTCTATTCCTTTCTTAATTAAGTCACAAAAAATAGACAACATGCAACTTTGGAATGTTGCAAGTGCATTACATAAACCAAAGGATATTCTTTTGAAACCAAAGTATCATAAGGACTTGTAAATTTTGTCTTTTCTTGATCCTCGAGAGCAATAGAAATTTGGCGATAACTGAGATATCCATCCAAAAAGCAGAAATATTTTTGTCATGCTAGCCTATCTTTGGTTCAGAAAAAGCAGAGGAAAGTGTTCTTTCCTGGTGGTGAAATTTAATTTTCTATAGTTAATATAGATTCACCAACAAGTGACTTATCTTATTGGTATTAGCTCATTTCGTTCATTTATAACTACAATCTCTTCTTCTGTCTTAGGAATACAATGAATTGGACTAACCCAAACACTACTCGATATAAGATAGATGATTCCAACATCTAATCATTTTAAAATTTCTTTCTTAACAATATCTTTCATCATAGGATTTAACCTCTTTTGAGGATAAACTCTTGGCTTATGATTTTCTTCTATTAAAATTCTACGCATACAAATCAAAAGGCTGATACCTTTGATATCAGCTAATGTCCATCTAAAGGCTTTCTTGTAATTTCTTACAGTTTTCATTAATTTTTTTTCTTGCGGTTGAGTCAAATATGTGGATATTTGTTGAGCTCATTTTTGATAGGGTCATCTTTTCTTTAGGATCTTAAGATCTAGCCATAGGACATTCCTGTTGACTATCCTAGAAGCTTAGTGATGGAGGACCCAGCTTATAGAAATTCTAACCACTTTTTTACTCTTTTTGAAATTTGACATGTGTGGTTTTGACCTCTAGCACTTAAAAGGTTGGAACCAATATGAGAAAGCTCAAATTTAGTCTCTACAGGAATGTGAAGCCTTAGGGGAACCTCTTTGATTATGGGTGGCTCATGTTTGGTTTCACACACACCTATACACACCCCAAAACCATAAGATCACTTACACTTGATACTCACCTCCTTACACCTTTTTTAAGCTCATGTAGGTGGACCCAAGCTCTTAGCCTTTGGCTAAAATGGTTAAGACTAACATGTAGAGCATCCAAAATGAGTTCTCATTTGGTGTTTTATGGTTCCAAGATGGTTATTCATGACATGCATGATCAACACCCTAAACCCTAAATCCATCTGAAATCCAATGTTTACCCAAAATTTCCAAAGCTAGCAGAAATTGCCAAAAATCTCCAAAATCATACCAAACTTCACCCAAATCAATCCTAACCACCCATTGACCTCAATTGCACCCAAATTCACCAAAATTGGCCAAAATTTTCAAATTGCCCCTAAATGCTTGAAGGCCCCAAATCAATATCAATTTTCACCAAATCCATTTCTAATACTTCTAACCTCAAGTTCAACCAAATTTCCAAACCTAAAGTCCAAATTCAAGTCAATCCAAACCAATCCTAAATCACTTTCCACGAAAATCCCATAAAGTCCAAAATCCACCCAAAATTTACCTGAAGCCAATTCCCACTAAATTAAACAACATGAATCAAATTATACTTCTCTATATTGTGTCATAAACTTCATCATCATGAATTCAAGACCTCATAAGAATTACACTTGATTAATTTTCAAAACTATAAAAAATAAATCGAAAGCCCAAATCAACCCTTTGATGTAGGTGGATTTAATGTGCTAGTTTTGCAAATATTTTTCAATATTACAAAATACACACGGTAGATACAACAGTAAATATTCAAATTAATCCCAACAAAATTACTTCAATTAAAATAGTTTTATCTTTTAATAATCTTTAAACTACCAAAATCCCCTTTAAAAATAATGCAAGTATACATATCACTCAAGGAATAAAAGGCTCTAATACTGTCCTAGATATCGATTTCACATAGAAGTTGGAAATGCCTGTAAATAAGTTCGTAAGATTATAATGTAAAGTACTATTTTAAAAATACAAAAAGTAAAGTGCAAAGTTTGAATATTAAGAAATAAGTGAAAGGTAATTAAAATGCAGTTGAAAGACAAAGTCAACAAAACCAAATTCTAAACTTTCAAAAGTAAAATTACAAAAATTAAAACTAAGATGTTATGACAAAAAGTTCAAATTTAAGAAAGCATCATTCCCCTTTAAAATGAGTATATGGTTTGTGAAGAAATTAAAATCATTTGAATATATATATGTTATGACGAAAAGTTCAAATTAAACTTTTTTGTGTTAAATAGGAGCAATCCTATTCTTTACCCTCTTCCGAGTGCATAAATAACATTGATTAATCCAGAGTTTGGTTTCTAATTTTGTGGTTAGGCTGGGAGCATACTGGCTGCAAATCTAGAGCTCCCACTATTCTCTCCCCTGAGGGCTAACAATCTCGCATCAGTTTCCAATCAACTGGATCAAATTGGGATTTTAATATGTCATCTTAAAATCTCTAATTCTGCATCCAACAAAGTATATTTCCCTATTTATTTGCACCAAATTCCATGAATGAAATACTCTCCCATGAAATCAAATATGATTCTTACCATGTTGTATAAGTTGAAGCTCTTTTAAAACATATATTTCTCAACACATTTGAACATTTCAATTGGCCAGATTAAAATGTAAATGAAGATCAGAGTTCAAATCATCACAATTTATGGACATTTAAAATCATATAAAACAAAATCAATTTTTCATAAAATCATATCTCAAAGTAGGGAGAAGGATAAAGAAGAATACTAGATTCATGAGAAAAATACGACAAAACACAAATTTCATATATAACGACAAGTTTACAAAATAAAATAATAAAAGACACGACTTTTCTCACAATCTTTCCCAAGAAAACTCCTAGAAGTTCTCTCCAAGCACTCTCAATTCTCTCTTAGAAGTGTAATGAAGAAGAAATCTCGCACATTCACTCTTCTTTTACAATTATTGAAGAAAATGTCCAAGCTCTTGACTTTCTTTCTCTCTCTCTAACTCTCCTTCTTCACGTCATACATCTCATGCCCAAAACTCCTCTCTTCTTCAAGCCCTAGACTTCCTTCTCTTTTAATAAAAGCTGCCTCCCTCCAAAAAGAATTCAAAATTCCCTCCAAATTTTTTTCCAAAAGTTAACTCTTTTGAATTCAAAAGATATATCCATTGATTCAAGCGACATATCCCCCAAATAAAAGAACCTTCCAAAGTGTTTAGATGCATTGATCACTCCAAGGGGTGTTTAGAACAAGTGTCCCTTTGAAAATTAGCGCAAAATTCGTCCTGAACTGCCTTAATCCTCAAAAAGTCATCCCGACGCATCCAGCGTCAAATCCGGCGCATCATGTGCCAACTCTCTGTCAAACGACACATCTGGTGCTAATCTGACGCATCATGCGCCAGTTTGCTGAAGGCTGCACTGTTTTGGGTTTTGGCACATCTGATACATCTGGCGCCAATCTGGAGCATCTGGTGCCAATCTGGTGCATCATGCGCCACAATTCCAAAACTCGTTGTTTTGCGTCCAAATTTCATCTTTTTTGTTACTTTTGCTCAAAATGCCTAAAATTGATGTCTGCAACAAAAACATGAAAAATACCCTTTTTTAAAGTGCAATATCATAAAAAATAAACATAAAATATGTACTTAAAATAACATATTATTTTGGTGTATAAAATTCTCCCAAGCTTAAATGTTACTTGTCCTCAAGCGACACTTTTACGACATAAAAACATATGACTTAGGATAGAGACTAACATATAACTTCTATACTTTAATTCAATAAATAAAATAGTACAATTTAAGAAAAAATCTTTAATAACTTAGATTCAAATCCTAAGTCTAAGAGTACTTTGTAATCGATTTTAAGATTTACTAGTTGAGAATACTACCATAGAACCGCCACAAAACTACTTAATAATGCAATAATACCACAATAATACAACAATAACATCATAATAACACCAGTCGAGAATACCAGCATAGAGTCCTCACAATACAACTCAAATAAAACCACAATAATATCACAATAATACCACAATAATACCACAATGACATCATAATAACATCAGTCGAGAATACTACCATAAAGCAAAATAAAAGCTCAATCACACCTCAGTACAATCATAAAAAAAATCCATTAACACCACAAAACTACTACAATAATACAAAAATAAGATCACAATACAAAAAATTCACCATGAACATTAAATCCCGCTAAAAACAATATCACTACTAGAATAACTTTACCTCCACAAAATTATTACAAAAAACACCATAAAAGTAATATAATACTATTGATTGAGAGTACAAAAGGAATCAATCAAATATAAATTAATGTCGACATTTTGAACGCAAACAAACTTATTTCTATTTCAAACTTTTCGTCATTATTTTTTGATTCCATTGTCAATATTTCTCGTTGAGAGAGAGGGGTGGAGAAAATAGTTCTGCGAAACTCTCCCTGTGGTGTGAGAAAAAAATTAAGATTTATTCGGCACAAAAGATTTTGCTTTCAAAATAATAGGCAGAATTAGGCAGAATCATGCATCAAAATATAGTGCATATCATTTTTTGTTGAATGAGTCGTTGAATGAGTCCACCTATTATAAGTGGTCATATATTTTTAGTAAACCCCCTACCTCCATTCGTTTTCCACAATATCAGCATTTGTCATTTCTTGATTATTTACTGTGAGGAAATATTAGGTTGGGAGTTTCTAATGGTCACGTGTTATATGACGCCACACATGGCCACCATTGAGACCTAATATATTTTCCTCAGCTGCGCCACATTCACACTCCGCTTCAGATCGGTTTTGCTTTGTTCCAATGGCCGCCTTCGCCTCTGAAACTGACAAGATGTCAAAGCTGCAGACCGCTGTTGCTGGTCTCAATCTGATCAGGTTGCTGTGACTATCTATGAACGTCATTTCTTTTTTATTATATGTTTTGTTTTGTATCCAATTTTGAGCTCTGATCTTTGTTTTGGGTTTTCCCGACCTGTTTTTCCAGTGAGAATGAGAAATCCGGATTCATCAGCCTTGTCTCTCGCTATTTGAGGTACATGTCGGGCTCCGTTCATTTTTTTTTATGAATTTTTCGGTTCCTCGTGCAATTTTGGAATCTGAATGTTCATGGTTGTTCGACTGAAGCGGAGAGGCCCAGCATGTAGAGTGGAGTAAGATCCAAACTCCAACGGACGAGGTGGTCGTGCCATACGAATCCTTGGCTAATCCACCCGAGGGTATTGTTCTCTTGTCTTATGGAAGGTGTAATGAGGTTTTGGTTATTTAGCGGCAGGTGTATTTAGCTTTCGTATTGCAGATCTTGAAGCGATTAAGAAGATTCTGGACAAGCTCGCTGTGCTAAAGCTTAATGGTGGTTTGGGGACAACGATGGGCTGTACTGGCCCTAAGTAAGTTCCTTATTGAAATTGTTGGATCTGATCAAACGAATTTTTATTTCGTCCTTGTCCAGATATAATTAGACTTAATTTTTTTTTTGTTTGGATGCATTGTACTTGTGGGAAACAAAGCTATAAATTAAGTTCTTTTCAACTTTTTTAGAGTAATAAAATCATGGAAACTATGCAAGAAGTTACCTCTAAATTTATTCTTCATTCAGTTGCTAAGATATTATGTGTTTCAAGTTGCATGATATGTGATTTTGTTTCAAGTTACATGATATGTGATTGAATTTCATTTTCTTGAGATCCTTATGAGGACTTGGCATGATGGAAATTTCATCCATTTCTACAAATTACTGATACTCATGTTTACTGGGTTGTATAAGAATGATATTTCTTTTGCAGGTCTGTCATAGAAGTTCGAAATGGATTTACATTTCTTGATCTCATTGTTATTCAGATCGAGGTAAAACTATGCTGAATAAGCATTCCTTTTTTTTCTAATAATTTTATTTCCATTGATTAGAAATCTAGGATCGAATTGTACTTTTTGCATGCAGTCTCTCAACAAGAAATATGGATGCAATGTCCCTTTACTTTTGATGAACTCATTTAATACCCACGACGACACATTGAAGGTGAGTGTCTAGTAGATACGTTCACATTGGAATTACACACCTATAGGATATGGGCTGACCAACTTTTGTATGCTTTGAAGATCGTTGAGAAATATGCCAACTCAAACATTGAAATTCATACCTTCAATCAGGTCTGAATGAAGCTTCTTACTTGATGTCCTTCTACTAAGTGATTTTTTATTTTTTTATTTAATATTGTAATGAATACTTTAGTAAACTTTTTTATTGTTCTTTTTATGTTGTGCTATTCCTCAGAGCCAGTATCCTCGCTTGGTAATTGATGATTTTCTGCCTCTGCCAACCAAAGGAGAAACAGGAAGGGATGGTTGGTAAGTGGTGGTCAATTACCATTTTTACTAGCACAAAAATGAATAATATATGCTATTGGAAGCTTTATTGAAGTTATGATAAATAACTTTGAGCTCTGTGGCTTCATATTTCATGTTGCCTTTGAGATTTCAAAAGCCATCTTTATAAAAACATTTGCATATTTTGGCATTTCTTATTAACTAGTTCCCTAATAATATTAACTATTCTTTTTGAAATAGAAAAGTTTTGTAGTTATTTATTTATTATATACCTTCCCATTAAGTTTCTGAAGGGTAGAGTTCATACTTCATTTTTAACTCTGTCTCATTATTTTTAGTTGTTAGATTTTGAATTGTTGAGTTATCTATTATTGAATTAATTATTATCATATTGTATATCAACATTGTTGAGTATATCAACCCCATCATCATCATTATCTTGATTATTTGTCGTCAACTTTATGAATCTTGTTCATCGTTGAAGCAGGGGCCAAAGTCACCTTTTTTGAGAGCACGAAAGTGAACAACTGGATCATCATTTGAAAAAAAACAAATTTAAGAGAAAATAATACTAAATTTACTTGGGTAAGTCATTAATGATCTGTATCTATATTGTGAGGAGGCATAAGAATCTACTATCAACTACAAAGGAGTGCAAAATAAGCGACATAATGAAACAAATGAAATCCTCTACTCTAGGAAAAAAACAACAAATATGGAGAAGATTTTATTAAAATCCTTGGAGTAATCTTTCTCAATAGAAAGCCATTGAGAAGAAGAATTCCTTTCTTGTTGAATCTCAAAGAACGTGATGCTAATGAATCTTCCTCCATATATAATCCTTCGCGTGATCTCCCCCTTTGATTTTGGTTGTGCCTTAAAGCGAGGAAAATACAAACCTTGATGTCTCTCCCTGTGCATGAAGTCACTATGCTACCACTTTGCATTCCCTCTCACATGTAATCATACTCCTTTCTATAGGTTACAACTTTAGAAGCCTAGTTTCACCTTCTCAACTTTGTAAGCCCATTCCCAATTTTGTTGATCTAGAAATTTAGCTTTAAATGGTAATAAAAACTTGAATAATTTTTACGTCCTTATATAATGTCAAGCTCTCTCTTCATAAATTAATTTGAATAAATTCTATTTCTATTAATTTTGATTTATATTTTCTCCTTCCTAATCATCTGACATTAAGTTTATCTAATTATCTCATTGGTGTATTTTCTACTATTCTTTGTATAAATTCAAATGACCAACTTTATTTTCAATTACTTTATCTTTAATAGATGTCGCTCCAATCATTTTTCAAATGGGACATTTACATTTGTACCGCACAATGTTATTGTATTTACATTTCTAACACAAAACATTCATTTTTACATGCATTACACTCTGATCTTTAATATCACTTTAAAAATACCACTACACTTGCTCTTTAAAAGTGGAATACATTATTTCGTGCATAGGTTTTTGTGGAATTCTGAGTTTCTTATTTTAGTTTCTCTTTTTTATTCTCTTTTTATAATGTTATTTTTCTTTCCTTCTTGAGTTATGCTTTCTTTTGTAAGTTGTAATTATTGTATTTAATATTGCCCTATCCATTCCTTCTTATATAAGGAGAAGAGTTGTGATTTGATTAATGAAAAAAATAAAAGAGCGCGATTTTCTCTACCTTTTTTCATGGTATTAGAGTTAAGGAGCAAACCTTATACCTTATTTTAGCCGTCAGAGCCTCTCCAATAGCAGACCAACACCATAATCCTCCATGCTTCTTGCAGGCCTTTCTCCTCCCTGGTTTCTGCTCTCCGTTCCTCTGGATTTCTTTCCACAAGCGTCTCCCTACAAGATTTCGGTCCCCTGTAGGTTTCTCCCTACTGGCAGGTTTCTCCCTACTGGATCCTCTTTGTAGTAGATCTCCCACAGCTTGGGGTGTAAACGAACCGAACACGAACGAACAGAGCTAGTGTTCGTGTTTGGTTCGTTTGAAATTTAATTTATTCGAAATAGGCTCGTGTTCGAAATTTTCGTGAAGTTACTGTTCTTGTTTGGTTCAATTTGTTCGAAATTAGTTCGAATTGTTTGAAATGTTCGAATTGTTCGGGTTGTTCAAATTGTTCAAAATGTTCGAATCGTTCGAAGTGTTCGATTTGTTCGAATTGTTCAAAATTATTTATATTCTTATGAAACCAAAGTATTATAAATGTAAAAATAAAATTTTAGATGTTAGAAATGTAAATACATAAAAATTGTGTGGTAACTAGATAAATTTCCCCAAAAATGTAGCTAGCTCATGCAGCTGAATTCAACTAGATTGGTTTCTTCGCTTGTTTTAGAATTTAATCAATTGTCAGATGAAATATGTTAAAAAAAAAGTAAAAAACACATTCAAAAACTCATTGAAACTTAAATAATTTAAAGACAAATATAATAATCCCCCGTGAATATAATAAAAATCATTGCCAAAACATAAACCTATATTAAAACATGTCTTTGATATTAGTTGATAGCAAATACATGATAAAAAACATCAAACTTTCAGCAAGTCTGCCATGGCTATCCAAGAGAAATAAATCAAACAAATCATATCATTCACCAAACTTGATTACTTCTTGGGAGAGTAAGAGGCGAAAAAAAGAAATATATCTACCATTTAAAATGTGTAAATGTATAGGACTTAAGAGTGTGATATGTCTGAAAATCTTAATAAAAAAATTAGATAAGATGTTCTTATTGGTCTCACTACAAAACAGCCATTCTTGTCAGGGTAGACAAATGCAAATGAAAGTTTTGCATCTCTTTTCCTAGCTGCAGGAGCAACCTCAGGTGATTAAAATAAGAAGCATTTACAAACATAACATCCAATTTCTCTGTGTTTAAATTTCTAACACCTAAATTATACATTTTACATTTATGCAACCCAAATTTATCATATCACATTAGAAAAAACCCACTATTTTATCTTTTAAAAAGTAAAATAGGCCTTTTCAAGCATAGGTAAGGGAGCATATATGTAAAAATTGAAGTTTAGGTGTTAGATATGTAAATACTAAGAAAATGGAGAAATCCTTAATAAACACAGATAGTTGTTGAATGAATACCAAATCAGCGAGCTCTCTAAATGTGGCATCCTTCCATGTATAAATCTGGACTTCATCCTTAGGTTCTTTGAAAATACAAATCATGATGTAATATTCAATGAATCATACCTATATTATGAGATTCATGAAAATATTGGGCTTACGAAATTTCAAATTCATGTATACTTCCATAAAAAAAACAGCGATTAAAAAAAACATTTCAAAAAGGAAGATTTAGATACATATCGCTCAATTCCTATGCATTTACATGTCTAACACCTATACTTTAATTTTTACATGTATGGCAATTTATTCATGAATAAAAAGGTGCAGTTCACTTTTTTTAAAGTTAAAATAGTCACATTTTTTATGTGATATAATGCATCTAGGAGATACACATTTTAAAAGAAAAGTGTAGGGACGAAAGCCGTAATAAAGTCAAGGATGCAAGCAAATAAATGTGGATCTTCAACATGTTCATTGATAACCTTTTCTTTTGGATAATCAACCTTCCCTCCAATTACGTTCCAGAAGATATCTGGTTCATTTCCTTCCTTCACTAATGTAGAATGTTTCAGTGGCTGCACATAGTGTTTTAACAACCTTAAATGACATCATGCTGGTCAACCAAAAAAATAAGAACAGGATTTAAAAGTAAATAAAAATACTGCCTGCAAATCATTACATAGCAGACATGCCATCAACCAAAATCATATCAACATAGGCATCTGCAAATATCAGATAACTATAATTGCAAATAATGCAATAAATTATGAACATAAATATTTAGCAATTAATAGAAGTAAAATGAGTTTAATTAAGACTTTGTGCAAGGATTACATGACCACTACTGCAGATGCCTTACTTGATTGGTTTACTTACAAGCTCTCTAGCTCCTCAAACAGAAATTAAACAGTGCTTTACTTGATTGGAAGCAGGGGAATGATTTTCTGCATGATAAGCCTGAGCAAAATATTCAATCATACAACCAGCCAGAAAGTGAAACACTTTTATTATTAGTAGGAGAAGAGAGAAAAACTTGAATCCAAAAGCCCCTACTTCCAACTCACATCACTATTAATCTTAAACCCATCATTTGGTTTATGGCTAAGTAACAAAAACCTCCTGCTTCCTGACATGTTTATCAATAGGCACTCGGAACAAATGAAACAGATTCACCAACTCCAAGCTAACAGGAAATTTGAACTTACCAAATCTAATAATTTTACCAATATAATTTTTTATGCAATTAAATACATTTTTGCTATAAGAGCAATTGCAAAACAGTCCAAATACATTTCTGCTATAAGAGCAATTAAATACGTTTCTGCTCTTAGAGCAATTGATGATCTTTTCAAAATGCTTGATATCTTTCCCAACAGTCCAAATAAACCAATTAATGATGATAGGCATGGCGACATAGAATGACCACCTTTTCTTGTTCAAAATTGAAACAAATCACTAATAGAATGCACAGAATTCCAATTCCACTGAAAATTTAAAAGGGAAAGAACAAGAAGCCAAACATTTCAGCTATAAGAGCAATTGCAAAACAAGTGCTCAAGCTCTGCTTCCTGCATATTACAAAGATAGCAACTAGAAACCAATTTGATACCTTTAAACTTTAAAATACTATCAATAGGAATAATCTTATGAAGAAGTCTCCAACAGAAGAAAGAACAAGAACATTTCTCTAAATTATTCCAGAGCCAATGCAAATCCGGGCCGCATTGTTTAAAAGTAATGCTTCTATGCTCATTAGATGGATAAGATATTTCTCGCAAGCAATGTCATCTCCCACAATAATGAGTTGTAGTTAAGGTTGGATGCACTCAATAAAGAAAAAGGAAAAAATAAAGCATATACTCAAGCGGTGCCATGATGCATGCTTATTCGTTGTACTAAATTCCCCATTGTTTAGAAGTAAAAGCCATTTGAGGGAAAGTTGTTATAATAACAAAGCATTTGTAATGCTTTGTTCTGTATTAATAGTAATACAACAAAATAACCATCATGGAAGACTCTTTATATGCAGAGAAGCAAAAAAAGTTCTAGAAACAGAATGACGCACCATAAAAACACCCTAAAATTTACATGACATTTCTTATGGATTACCCTAACACTTAATAACAATCAAAGTTTATCATGATACCGAAAGGTATCAAACTACCTTTCAAACAAAAACCTTCATGAGACGAAATTACATATAAAAATTGAAACTCATGCACCTTTATATATATTTTATATAATCAATAATTTTTTATTGCACCCATCTCGAAATAAATCTAATGCTCATGGTGATCAAATTTGTATCAGGATATCCTTGCCATTTTTGCCCCTTCATTCAATCACAATCCCATATCGAGGAAGAATACGTAAACCAATGAAACACGTAATGCCAAAATAATTAACATTAGTCATGTATCTGGATTTCACTCCCAAGATCCCAAATAGAGCGTAGTGCTCACAAAAAAAAGCAGATCTACAATCAATATGAAGATAAACATATCTGGATTTCATCCCAAAAACTTCAAAATCTAGGTTTCACTCAAAAAAATTAAATAAACCTAAAAAAATTTCTAAAAATTTAAGCTAAGAGGCAAACCTGAAGATAAATATGAAATATTACAGAAAATATTCTCGAAGAAGACGACTCGGTGGCCTTACAAGCAACCAAGCAAGAATATCGAGCAACCGAACACCGAAGCAAGAATACCGAGAGTGGTCGATCCAACGCCGACTTGCTGATCGAGGAAAAATACACTTTAACGAAGAAAATTTGAGGTAGAGATTAGAGAACGAACACAAACAGTCAACCCTAAGCTTTCACCGAGAGAAAGCTTTTCGCAATTTTGAGACAAGAAGGAGAGTTCTCGCCGAGAGAAGCTTTTCGTGATTTTAAGAGGAGGGTTCTCGCAGTCACCGGGAGGAAGCTTTTCACGAATTTGAGAGAAGAAGGAACAGCCGAAACTAAGCTTTCGAGAGAGGAGAAAGAGCGGCATGCTTTCGAGAGGGAAAGAACGAACACAGGTGAAGGGGTTAGGGCTTCCGCCTGGGTAATAAGGCTTTTTACATTTATTTCATTGTTTGTATATATTAATATATAAAAATAATATATATAATATATTATGTTAATTATATACCTTATATTATTTAAATATATAATATCTATATTGCTAGTATAGTATATAAATATATTATTATTAATTATTTATTGTACATTATAATTTACATGATTTAATTTTTAAAATATGTCAAATTTTTTGAGTATATAATTATTTTTAATATATCATAAATTTTATATATATATTATTTTAATTTTTTTTTATAATTCAAACAATCAAACATGAACGAACGCATCACTGTTCGTGCTTGGTTCGTTTAACAAATAAATTGAACAAAAAAATTGTTAAAAATTGTTCGTGTTCGTCTCGTTTACTTATCAAACGAATCGAACATGAACTCTCTAACGAATCAAACACGAACTGTTCGTGAACAACGAGCTTTTTTGACAGCCCTACCCACAGTGCAGATCTCTTACAACCACAGATCTTTCGTACCCTACAGGAGTTTCCCAACACGAACTTTCTTCCTTGCAGATCGCCGTTAGCTAGCTTGCGAAACCGACCTTCCCAAGCAGACAGAGGAGGCGTAAGAAACCGGTTGACCTTCCAAACATCCCTCTTGGTTTGGTCCTTCCCAACCTTTCAGTCCTTCCTTCTAGCCACTCATCGCTCAAGCAAGCGACAACCATGAGTTTGCAGCTTGCGGTACATCAACTAGGAAGCTTTTTTAACTCTTAAACATGTTGATACTAAAGTTAATTCAAACAGCAATAGACAAACAATCATTATTACTAATAAAGTTAATAAGCGATCAAAATGACACACTTCAAAAGAAAATAACAAATGGTTCAACAATCCATCTCAAATTATGGTAGATGTTGGGGTGTTGGTGGTGATCGATGAGCGGTGGAAGTTAGCGGGATGGTGGATGAGGTGTTTGACCAGCAGAAAACAACAATGCAATAGTTTTTGGGTTTTGGACAGCAAGTACGAAGCATATATTGTATATCACATGGCTGTTCGGGATTATGTATACAAAAGGGGAGGACTGGAACAACAGTGGTAGCGAAGATAGAAGGCCAGAACGGCGATGTTAACAAGTGGGAGGGGCTGGGACAGTGGGTAGGTGGTAGTGAATTGGGTCAGAATGGTTGGAATAGCAACCAAGACTGCGAAGGGGCGTTTCTCGTGGATGGAACAACAATGGAGAGGAAAAGGAACTGAATATGAGCTGCTGGAACAGTAGCCAAGAAGCGGGGAAGGCGGATGGAAAGCATAAGCTATAGAAAAAAAGCCAAAAATGTTGTTCTGGGCAGTTGCAGCAAGGAAGGGGAATTTAAGAGTGATGTTGGAGGATGCGAAAGAGGATAAGGGTAGATAATCACCACCTCAGGAGAGATACAATCGAAGCACCACCGAATTCCTCATATACAACTCTTAAAGGGAGAAACAGATGTTGACGACTCTTTTGAACAAAGTCACGCTATAAACTACTATCTAAACTTACAACACATATATAGGAAATGATTAGAAAGGAATAAAAGGAAAAGGAGAAACTCACTAATAAAACTAAAAATTGGAAATGAATAAAAAATGTGTCGTTCTATTCAGCTTTGCGCCGTTCGCATGAGCCGGTACACGCGCTTCATTCGGCTCCTGTAGCGGGAGTCACTGCATTGTAGCAGGGATCTCATAAAAGCTCCCACATCACGTGCATAGGGCTTATGACAAAGTATAGAATGATAATGTCTAGCTCTACTTTGAAGGTTATTTTTGGATAAAGGCCATGAATTATGCTAAAATAGCCTCATAATGCTCATATTTTATCACAAATTATTAACCCAATGGCCATAATGGTCTCAATTTGTGCTTATAAAAAAAAGAACATCTCAAAAGAGGGTACAAATCATGAGTTCACTGATCATAACCATTGCTCCTAAAAGATTCAAGATCATCTGGTTATGTCTTGGTTGATCAATTCTAAGATCACATAGATTGGAGAAATTTTCTTGCTTTATAAGACAATAAAGGAGATTTAGGAAGCATCTGGTGAGACTTATTCTAATATAGAAAATTTTACAAAATTGTTTGAGACTAAGGCGAAGCTGCACGAACTCTGACATGAAGAGTTTAG